TAATAGCAGTGTGTGGTAAAGTGCAGATGGCCGTACAAAAACAGCAATATCCAGGTTTCTTTAAGAACTGAAGATGGATTAATATTTAGTTTCCTTTTAAACAACTTGTTGAAACAGCCGTTCTAGGGTGTTTAGTCCTCAGAATAAGGCAGCACAAACTTAGCCTCGTGAGACCATCCTGATCTCGCGAGCTTTCAAGGTTTCACTCGCTAATCAGTCTGGAGACTCTCCGTTAAAGAAAATTTAGAGCAGTTCACCAAATGAACGTCCAATCAGCGTTGGCTTTGAGGCGGGTTGAGGTGTGATGCAACGAGAAGCGCGACAGTTCAGTCTAAAGAACATGGCGGCTTCAGCCGATGAAACTAGCGTTAGCGTGGCTATCGAGGAAGTTTTATCGGAATTACAGAGTATTTCTTCACTGAAAGAAGAGCAAAACACTGCTCTGGAGGCTTTTCTCGGAGGAAAAGATGTTTTTGCTCTTCTCCCGACTGGTTTCGGCAAGAGTTTGATCTATCAATTGGCTCCGTTTCGTCGTCGCTCTGTTACGTCATATGCTTCGTTGATCTGATTGGTTTATTTGGCCCGTCTATCACCAACATAGGCCAATCAGCTAACCAGTATTTTCGCCCCTTCCCAAAATTACTTCAACGGAAGGTTTCCAGATGGATATGTGGAGCAAATCCATCTGGCGGAGTCAGGTTAGCACAAACTGACCTATTTCTCTTTAGCAGATGTGTTTCAATGAAAAGACTCTGCTGGGTGCATCACTCAGATCCTTTTCAAATGACATTTCATCTTTGGTTGGCCTCTTGACATTTATTACTATTCTTCATTCTGTGCAAATAGTAGGTCTCTTTCCTTGCATATCATTCTGGGTTTATTTTCTATTTTTAAGCAACATTTTCTGTGTTTTGCTTCCAAATTAGTCTCAACAAAACCATTTCAATCATTGATCTAGTAACACAGAACAAGGAACATTTATAGCGTGACTTTTTGATCTCTATTTCTCATGTAGAAATCTTAAGTTCTACTAAAACGTGTTTATGATCTGCTTAGATGACGGACTGCTATTATTTTGAACACAGCTGTATATAACATGATACAGTCACTATTGCCAAAAAAAGAATTATTACAATGTAATATTTATTAAATTGTCATTTTGTGACAGTCCCGCTAAATTTGATAATATAATTACATTTATTAAGCACTTTCAAAGTGTTGTTCAGAGCCATCTAGTTAAATATAACAATGTCCATAGTTACAAACCTGCAAAGCAATCAAAAGTGAAAATAAAAATAATGATCAAAATGAAAACATATATAAGAATGCATGAAAAAGGATGACTGACAGAAATTTGTGAGAGCAACAAATTAAATATCAGCTGACCCACCCTGCCTAATGTCTGGTAATGCTAGTTTACCAGTGTGAACGGAGAAAGACGAGCCGATATGGGATGTTTAAGCAGTTTGGCTATCTGCTGTGATCGGTTAATTAAAAGGCATCATTTGTAAAAATGGTTAATTGAAGGGTGATGCAAAAGGCTTTGTTTTAATTGTAAATGAGAGAAAAGCAAAGTGCATTCTTTGCAGGTTTGCAGAGACGATTCTTTGCTCCACGGAGCTTTAGAAAAGCGTCAGTCTCTCCACCTGTTTCTGCAACTGCTGGGGAAGGGCAGTGATGGCGTCAGCAACTGATAAAAAAAGATTTTCAAAGGTTTCTTTGATAACAATGATGCATTTTAGAGGATGCATCAATCTGTTGATGCATCCTCTAAAAAATTAAAAACTTGATGAAAAAGTATTATGTTGGATTTAATGTGAAGGCTAAAAGGCTTATAGACTAGAATTTAACACCCTTGAAGTAGTGAATAACTAACAACTTCCCTTCCTTTTCCCACCACTGCTGAATGCAGCACTGTACGGTAAATATTGTGTGTTTAACAGGAATGCAAAGGTTCCAGTTCTAGTTCCTCTGTTCTGTGATATCTCTAACACCCTGCTTCAATCTGCACATGCTACATGGTGAAATCAGGCGAAAAAAGGCAGCGGACCTTTAAACTGCAGCTGACCAACAGGTTTTCTGTATTAAGACTGCTGCTTGCTTCTTTTTTCCAAAAGGAAAAGAAAAAAAAATGTTTTTTTCAGTATTTAGCGTTTAGAATTAGTCTGAATGTTTAGCATTACTGTGACTAATCGTCCAAAAGCAAGGATTGCATCTGGATCACATTTCTTACTTTACATCATTTGAAAATGTTTTGCTAAAGATCCATTGATGACATTCTGCAGTGCATCGCTTTAAATAATTACTAAAGCTGCTCATTGCATTAACTGCAGACAGCAAATCCCTTCAAAAATGACTTTCCTGGCTAATTCTTCTTATTCAGTGTTCTGCATTATGTACCTGTTGAGTTATATGTTCTCAGTTTATTTAATTTTTTTTCCCCAGAGTTTTTTTTTTTTTCCTGACTATCTTTTAAACATCAACCTCACATTGAATTGTGATTGTTAATATCTTGTAGTTAAGCAACAGCTTAAGTCTTAACAATCAGGGTACATTATGTATGTAGAGCTTCTAGAGTGCATTCATTCATCTTTGAAAGCAGCTCAATAAAACTGAGAGAAGTGTGAAATAAATCAACCTTCTAGTCTTTGCTTTTTCTACCGTTCAACAAGCTGTAAAGCTTCTCTCTTTTAATTTTTAAATGAAATATTGTATTTCAAAGATTTATCCCTTGTTTATTTTAATTGTGTATTTCTCATGGTTTGGGGTTTTATTTTTGTTTTTGTTGGATTCTATTTGTGCAGGAAATTAAAATTAGCTTTCGTATTTTTAAACATCATATTTGAAAAATTCAAGATTTTTGCAAACTTTTTAAAAGACCCGCCCTCTCCACTTAAAAAAAAAAAAAAAAAGCACATGCACAACACTGTACCTGTTACCGAGAGGGAACGCCTATTTAACACGTGCGAGTGTGTGCATGAGCCCATTTCTCCTCGTGCACGCTCTGTTTGAAAGTTGCTCATACAAGCTTACTTTCCAAAAGAAGTTTTGCAAACTATGTCAGACTCGCCACCGGTAAGTGAAAATGGGGACGGGCACGTAGGATGGCCTTATGTAAACCTATCAACAGAATGATTGACATTTAAAATGACCACTTATTTTGATGATCCACCTGGAAAAAGAACATCTTCCACCATAATTTTTAAAATGGTAATAAACTATGATTTACAGGGTTGTTTTATAGTAGGCCACTTCAACCACTGAAACTACACTCACCGGCCACTTTATTAGGTACCCCATGCTAGTAACGGGTTGGACCCCCTTTTGCCTTCAGAACTGCCTCAATTCTTCGTGGCATAGATTCAACAAGGTGCTGGAAGCATTCCTCAGGGAGTTTGGTCCATATTGACATGATAGCATCACACAGTTGCCACAGATTTGTCGGCTGCACATCCATGATGCGAATCTCCCGTTCCACCACATCCCAAAGATGCTCTATTGGATTGAGATCTGGTGACTGTGGAGGCCATTTGAGTACAGTGAACTCATTGTCATGTTCAAGAAACCAGTCTGAGATGATTCCAGCTTTATGACATGGCGCATTATCCTGCTGAAAGTAGCCATTAGAAGTTGGGTACATTGTGGTCATAAAGGGATGGACATGGTCAGCAACGATACTCAGGTAGGCTGTGGCGTTGCAACGATGCTCAATTGGTACCAAGGGGCCCAAAGAGTGCCAAGAAAATATTCCCCACACCATGACACCACCACCACCAGCCTGAACCGTTGATACAAGGCAGGATGGATCCATGCTTTCATGTTGTAGACGCCAAATTCTGACCCTACCATCCGAATGTCGCAGCAGAAATCGAGACTCATCAGACCAGGCAATGTTTTTCCAATCTTCTATTGTCCAATTTCGATGAGCTTGTGCAAATTGTAGCCTCAGTTTCCTGTTCTTAGCTGAAAGGAGAGGCACCCGGTGTGGTCTTCTGCTGCTGTAGCCCATCTGCCTCAAAGTTCGACGTACTGTGCGTTCAGAGATGCTCTTCTGCCCACCTTGGTTGTAACGGGTGGTTATTTGAGTCACTGTTGCCCTTCTATCAGCTCGAACCAGTCTGGCCATTCTCCTCTGGCATCAACAAGGCATTTCCGCCCACAGAACTGCCGCTCACTGGACGTTTTTTCTTTTTCGGACCATTCTCTGTAAACCCTAGAGATGGTTGTGCGTGAAAATCCCAGTAGATCAGCAGTTTCTGAAATACTCAGACCAGCCCTTCTGGCACCAACAATCATGCCACGTTCAAAGTCACTCAAATCACCTTTCTTCCCCATACTGATGCTCTGTTTGAACTGCAGGAGATTGTCTTGACCATGTCTACATGCCTAAATGCACTGAGTTGCCGCCATGTGATTGCCTGCTTAGAAATTAAGTGTTAACGAGCAGTTGGACAGGTGTACCTAATAAAGTGGCCGGTGAGTGTATATTCTCAATTAGGTCTGTTTTGAAAAAAATATAAATGGTGTGAAATTTGTCACACTTTAGTGAGTCAGAACATTCACAATTTTTACTCAAAAACACAGAAGCTGTTTTGTTTTTTGTTAAATAAAAGATTTTATTAAGGGGAAAGAAAATCCAAACCAACATGGTCCTCAGTGTAAAAGTGGTTTTGGTGGTGGTTTGAGGCTTTTGCTGCTTTAAGACTTGGACGTCTCGATATGATAGAAGCATTCTACCATCCAAAAAATAAAGAAATCCTGGAGGAGAAATGTCCAACCATTTGTTCATGGCCTCGAGCTGGAAAAAAAACTTGGTTTCTGGGTACCAGACAATAATCCAGAACAAAACAGCAAGTCCACCTCTAAAATAACTGAAGAAAAACAAACATCACCTTCACTCATAAATAATACTTATAATCATTGTTTGCTTTACAGCCATAAAGTCGGGAATTAGCTTTTTATTTACCACGTCTAAGACATGTATCAAAGAAAGAAAAGGGTTTTAGTTTCCAGATTTTTTTTTTATTCCTTATTCAGTTTTCTAGAAAAGTTCTAAACAAAGTGCTGCTTCTACTCATTTATATAAAATGTGCTCCTATTATCTTTACATTGCAACATTTCCCTTCAATTCCCTGCGCATTATTTGACCAGATATTGTTTTTTTTTATCATAAAGGATTAAACAGGGAGCAAAGTCTCTGTGTGAGGCACCGCACAATGGCAGCCCACTGCTCTCCAATGGGATGGGTTAAATGCAGTGTGAGTTTCATTGCTTTGTACTTGTGACAATGTAATGACAATAAAATTTAATTCTATTCTACGGTAAAAGCTCAAACCTAAATCGATTTGTGGGCCCATTTTCAAAACCTTGTATGGTTTTAAGATTGAGTCTGGTTTAATTTTTTAATGTTTATACAAACATTAAACATGTTAAATATATACCAACTGTTCAATTTACTGATTGTAGAACATTTCAAGCCTGATTTGGAAAATTCAGAATAGATCAGACTGGAATGTATGGAGCTTACAGATCATAAACCCACATGTCTCTTATAAAAAAAAAAAAAACATTTTATTTTAAATGTATATATTTTAAGCACTAAATTTAACCATAATTTAAAAAAAAAAAACTAAATATCAGCTATCCTGTTGAAGAACCAATAGGTGGTGCTGCTATGCAGCGTAAGAATTCAAAATAGATTATACTCTACCCTCAGTTAAGTAAAGGAAATTTAAACATTTTAATGAGTTAAATGAATCTGTCTTAATAATAAACACATCTGTATGAAAAAACACATTCAGAACATTGAATTAAAAAGTATTACAGTACATTTTACAAAGGTTATGAAATATATTAAGCTGTAATCAACTAAATAATGAAAGAGTTTAGGAACAGATCATAATCTGTACATGAAGTGTGCAAAAAAGTAATGCCCCATTTCTGGGCTTTCATATACTGGCAATGAAAAGAGTCTGTTAGTTTCTTCCAGCTCATGAATAAAAGTCTTTTCTCAGTCAGTAACAGACAAAATGTGCAAAAATATACAGATAGGGAGAAACGCCGGCAGGAGTCGCTGCGGCGTCCCCTCAGTAATGGCTGAGCTCTTCTGGAGGACGGGAGAAGTTGTAACTGTCCTCACTTCCGATGTAGGCGTTTATACCGCTGTTTTGGCTTCCCCATTCATAACTGTCCGCAGCCAGACTACAGAACATTAAAAATACAGCGTCCGTTATTATGCATCACCCTTCCATCACTTCCTGGCAGGCTCGGACTGGTAATCTGTGATATCGGGCATTTGCCCGGTGGGCCGATCCAAATTTCAGCATGCAAAGGCCAGCCTTCCTTAAACCATACCGGCCCCAACACCTATTCTCCGACCGAAGCACCTACCTGTGACAGTAAATAACTCAAGTAGCTCAAGAAGTAATCCAATGATAACTACCTAAATGATGCATGCAGTATATTGCTTGCTTGTCATGCACATCCTTGTGAAGGTTGGCATATGGTGCAATTTTCTATTTCTTCAAACTGTAAAATCCTCGCAACCAACTAAATTATAATAAAACTAAAATGCTTTCTTTAAACCAAACTACGATGTTCCTCTTATATTTGGCAAATTTATGTTTGATTATTTTGCAAAAATATTTTGCATTGTTGCCCGGTAGGGATTTTTCCCCATCTGGCAGTTTAGGATCGCCCTCTATGGGTAAAAAAAATTTTTCTTTATATTTATGGCCTAAGAGATCAATAGACTTTGATCAAATTGGGCGAGATTTCATATATCCAGGCAATTTATGAACACTTTTTGGGCTGGAAAACGTGAGTCAGTGACATCTGGCCACTCTGCTGATGTGGTGAGTGTGGCTATTTCGCAGCAGCAGTCACTGTCGCATCCGTGTTCATAACCAAAGCCAATAAAACCATGTTAAAGAAGTCTTGGTGATGGTTGTCGTGTGATGCTTGAAGGCTGATCGGTTAATCAACAATGTGTATTGGTGTTGTGTTTCACATTCGAGACGCACGCGTTTGACTGTGCTACTCCTCTTTTCAGTCCGAGCCTGCTTCCTTGACTCAGAGGACTAAGCATGCTGCGCATACCTGGCCTGGATGTTCTGAGGCATGACGCTCCAAGCGAGATCATCGTCGCTGTCATAACGTCTTGGGTTGTCGAAGAAGTACGCCCTGGATGAGAAGACGTGACTAGGGAGGCCTGAGCTGCTCTGCAGGAGACAAACGACACACAAGACGATACCTTTCACAATTTGACGCAGGGCTCTCCAACCGTTTTATGTGGCCGATGAGACACAGGGAAACCAAAACACAAATCGGTTCAAGGTTACTGGAGGCCTCACCCGGTCCAGGTTGGGCTTTCGAACTCTGAAGAAATACACAACCAGGGAGGTAGGTAGCAGCTCCCAAACGAACAAAATCACCCCAAAGACGACATAGCCGGTGTCCCCCAGAGTCGACTGTAGATCTGCCTGAAAAGAAAAGTTTAAAGAAATTACAAATGGCTCCTTCAGAGGGAGATAAAGATAGTCCAAAATTCAGGCGTTCTAAGTATTTTGTCTTTTTTTATTATTATTATTTTCCCTCCAAACAGCAAATCTGAATTCTCTTTTTTTTTAAGGAAAAGTTCGGTTATATTCAGAATAAATACTTCTGAGAGTACTTTAAATATGAAATTATTACCGACTGTTCAATAAATGATAGGGTGTTTTTGATTAAGATCATGAATCGGAAAGGTGAAATAACTAATTTTTATTTCAATTTTACCCAGTGTATTAAAACATCCAACTGCACCCAGATCATGTGAAACACTTTATCTAGGATGCCTGACACATGATGTAATTCAAAAGGATGATGAATACCTGCTAAAAATATTACTTTCAGCATCAAGGAAAACCATCACAAAATTATGGTATAGACAAGACCCCCCTGCGGTGGAGCAGTGGTTGAGCATCGTGGAAGAGATTTTTGTAATGGAGAAAATCACACATAGACTGAGCTTGCAGGAGTTTGATGTTAAATGAGAAAAATGGAGCAACTACAGGCACAAGGAGAATACCATTCTTGTATCCAGATAAATATGGACACGGTTGTCCAACATTGTATATGAAGTCGAATGTATTGTTGCCTCTCCACAATGTTCAATAAAAAATAAGTATAAAAAAAAAACAAACAAAAAAACAACAACAACATCCAACCGCCATGCTCGTGGGCATTGTCAGTTTCACTATAGCTCTGGTGAATTTCAATGGTGAAGTCCTCTGGAAATTTTCAATAATTGTTGTTGATTGCAGATGTGTCTAATAGTTCCCATTGATTTTGCTTGCAAAGCGGGGAGAATGGCGCTAGACTTACCGCACCGTGACGTCACTGTCAGAAGATGGCAGGAGTGAGGTGTTATTATATTTGGGCAAAAATGGCCGCTCCCGACCTCAATGATCACGCCGAAAATTATTGTTTTAATTTTTTTTACTGATTAATACTAAATTCATTAAATCACCACAAACGTTTTAGTTTTACGTATAAATAACGATCCATTGATTATTCCTTGCTCACCGGACTTTTCCTTTAAATAGAAAGAGATTTATTTCCACAACGGCTCTTATCTTAATAATTCCTTATCTTATCTTACGAATCTGAAAATGTTAGAAAATTATTTGCATTCTTTCCATACCTGACTCCTATCCTACTATGTGCCCAGAGTAAAACATCTATGTCTTTCACTCCAAGATCTCCATTTTTGTGGACAAGATCAAAGAGTTGTGAAACTATATCATGATCACAACGTAGATCTACTCAAGGCTAAAGATCACAGAAAAACCATCAGCAAGAAGCTTGATGAGAAGGAAGCAGTTGACCCACTTAGTTTGGAGCTTTGCCAAATATCTACTTTTACTGAATCAGGACAATTACAAGGAAGGAATTTTAGCCAAAGTCATTTGGAGTGTTTGGAATACGGAGTATAATCAGAAGAACACCACCTCCATAGTAAAGAATGGAGGCATGTTTTAAACTGTGTTTTGGATTCTGGCTCAGGGTGACTGCCCTCCATTGACGGGCTGATGGGTGGATCATTAATTTTGAACAACCACATGAAGTCATTCTGCATAACAATTACCCAAAGGTGTCGCCAAGGAGGCACCAAAGAAACAAGCTGATGGAGGTTCAGCTCCAGGTCCCTGCGGAACTTAAAAGACTCAAACAGACTAATTACATCTTGGTGTCTCTAAATAATCTAGAGGCTGTAGCGAACAGATTTTATTTTATTTTTACAAGAGAACCAGAAGCTGAACTCCTCCTATGAAAACATCACGACGTAGTAACTTACCTGGTCGGACACGTTGTACCAGTCGTAGTCAAACGAGTTAATGCTTTTGTTTGAGAGACCCAGGACAACCAGGTTGTAACAGGCCCTGGATGCATACAGGAGGATGACGATGGCTCCTATGACAGTCACCTGGCACACCGACGTCCCCTGCATGACATCATAACATTAAACCAGGAGGAAACGCTAACACACAGTGGGCTGCAAGAGTATTTACAGCAACTGTTCTCCAATTTTGTTCCATTACAACCACAGAATTCAGTGAATGTTATTGGGATTTGTGACAGACGATCACAAAGCGGTGAATCATAAAAGATTTATGTTTTTTAAAGTTGCATATAAAAAAATCGGAGTCTTTAGTTGTGCATCTCTACCAGCCTAGGACACCTAAAGACAAAAATGCTTGTCTCTTTGCAGAGTTCATTAAGCACCAACAGACTGGAAGCAGAGTTATCCTGCATCTAAAAGGCGCAGGACATTGGCCCTCAGGGAAATGAGGTAGACATCACTGCTCTAACAGGTTTTCACATGGAATTACCCTTTAACAAGCTGCACTTTTTTCTTTCCCTGGTGGAGAAAAAACATTCCCACAACATGATGCTGCCACTACCATGTAGGCGGACAGCCTTGTCTTTGTAGGTTTGCAGGTGAGCAGAACTCCTTTAGCTGTTCTCCAGGATTTCTTAATGTTTTTCTGGGAAACACTAATGAGGCTTTAATAGAATAGCTGGATTTAAACTGATTTTAGTCTACATACAAATAGACTGCAGTGCCTTTTCTTGCATTTAATTTTATTTAGAGGCAACATGCTGAAGGAAAATAAAGCAAATGTGTGCCGCACTTCTTTAATTTTTTTATTGTCATTACACTGTCACAAGTAAGCTACGAAATTCAATCTCTGCATTAAACCCAACCCGCCGGGGAGCAGTGCGGTGTTACCGGTCTTTGCTCAGGGACCCAGAGTGGCAGTCTGTGGGAGTGGGTTTCAGTTCATCTCAATTCCATTCAGTTTATTTCTATAGCGCCAATTCACAACACATGTCATCTCAAGGCACTTTCCAACTCAAGCAGATCATACATTCAAATTGATTCAAAGTTTTCTATCTAAAGAAAACCAGTTGCTTGCATCGACTCATTGACCTGAAGGCAATCCCTCACACTAACACCCCGTCCACACGAAGCCGAACCCTGGCCTAAACGCACAAATTTTTCACCAAACCAGCCTCTCATCCACACGAAGCCGGCGTTTCGGGGGTCTGTAAACGATCTTTTTTTTATTCAGCCTTCAGAGTGGGAAGATTTTGTAACGCCGTTTTCGCGTTTCCATCTTTAAGCTCTAACCGCCTTTTTTTTCTTACACGCATGCGTCATAGCGTCGCCTCTAAACACGCATGCGGACACAGTATCACAACAACAATGGCGCCGTACTGTGTTGAATGGTTGCTGCTAATGCTACTCACCCTGCTGTCGGGCTTACAACAGAATCTTCTTCTTCTGGAATATCTCCAGGAAGAACAGAGCAATATCGACCACATAGTTCAGCACCTGAATTTGACTTAACCACGAAAATGGACCCGCAGGGCAACCATGTATAAATATTAGTGCGCATGCCCAACATTTCGTCGCTTATTTTTGCTTTGGCACCACAGCGCCACTTACAGGCCTGGCATACATTTTGCAGCGTTTTCATGCATTCGTGTGGACGATCACATTTATTTTACGTCTCCGTCTTTACAACAAACGTCCTGGAAAATATTAGCGTTTCGTGTTCGTTTTGACTTCGTGTGGACGGGGCCTAAGCATGCTTATAGCGACAGTGGAGAGAAAAAACTTCCTTTTAACAGGAAGAAACCTCAAGCAGGACGAGGCTCGGTGTGAGCGGCCACAACCTCCAACTCACAACCTCAAGAATCCAAGCTCTGTGCCCTAACCACTAGACCACCACTCCCCAACTTCTCAGTTTCATTCCTGCAAAAACTTTAGCACTACAGATATGTTTTATTTCAATTTATTTATTTTTGGTATTTTGCATTAAATCCATTGAAATCTGTGTCTGTGATGTGAAAAGGAAAATTTGAGCGGTGAATACTTTTGCATAACATAGTGACTAATCCAGTAGTTGAATCTCCATCTTACCTTGGACTCCAAGTAAATGTTGGCCAGAGACATTTTGGCGATCTTGTAAAGACACAAAGAGAGCGAAACGGCACACAGGACAAAAAGCGTGTCGTTGATGGCGACCCTCACAAGTACAATGGTGTGAGCTTCTGCAGAGGACATCCTCACCAGCAGGGCGCACACTAAATTCACGACTAAAAACACCAGGCTGATGAACAGGAAGAGGAGGTAGAGGGGCAGCCTGGCAGGAAAAGACCACAGATTTATTATACAGCCCTAAAGACTACAGCCAGGGAAATGAGTAGAAACCCAGGGAAGGCCTGCTCTCACCTGTACCGCTGGAGCTCTGGTGCATATTTAGACTTTGCCTTAAAAACAACCTAAAAATAAGAAGAAAAAAAAAGAAGAGAGACAGTTAATCATGCATACAGGCCCGGGTGTTTCACTTCTCTTTTCTTGCTCCTCATTCCGATTAAACAAGAACCCGGAAGCTTAAAAAAAAAAAAAAAAAAAGGTTGGTTTTTTTGCATTTAAGATACACAATAGTTAAACTGCTTCAGGCTCACTGAAAACTCAACTAACTCTCATATCAACACAAGAGGATTATGCTAAAAATAAGCGTGAGGCAGAGGCCGGAGCAAGTATCGCTTCGTATGTGGATTGTGTAAGCTGTTGGAGGCATGATTCATCTCATTTTGCTGATCCTCCTACACAGACAGGCCATAATAACCGGACTCCTTCCTCTCTAGTCACATGAATGACTATGAGAGTGTCATAATAAACGCATAAGCGGCAGCCATGTTGCTGCGCAAGCAACTTTCTGCAGCGCTTGTTTTGACGAGCGTTCTGTGTCACTGATTTGCAAATATTCACATCCTGATGAATGTCATGGAAAAATGAGGGAACACATTTCCTCTAAATAGTGTGTTGTTGTTTTTTCATTGCTTTGTTGTTTGAAATACCTCAACAAACATAACCTACCATTTAGGAGTGGCCTAGTCAAAGTCTTGATTGTTTCTAATTTAAATTCTCTACCTTGACCTAAAGCAGAGGTCAATCCATCATATCGAACGCTGAGCTGAAAAGACTGACTCATTCAACTGTTGGATTTGTTCTTTCCATCTCTTCCTTTAGCTGATCTGTAGCTAAATAAATCAGCAGCAAGAAAACTCAAAGGCTGCAGCTGTCATGTGAGCGGTTATTTCATATCTATAAACACCGTGAAGGTCTTTTCCATAAGCAAATCTATAAAATAAAATCTTTTAAGTAAAAGTACACTGAAAAAATCTGTACATCGTGAGTAGCTGGGCTGATGACATCACGAGAGCCACAGATACGGAGAATCGGCTGATTCTAGTACAACTACACGCGGGATGGAAAACTTTTGATGGATCTGGACGTAAATCCTAACCCACTTGATTATCATTTGGGTTTCAACAGTACAAAAAATACTCATGAATCTCCACTAGAAGACACAAAAACACATACTACACTAAAAATAAGAGATGTTTATGAAATTGCTTATTTCTGTTAATCAGTAACATTAACTGGTGCAAACTAGACACCACAGAGCTATGCTTTCCTAATGTTTCAATGTAATGTATTAGGGATGTCCCGATCAGCATTTTAGGCCTCCGATCCTTATCTGATCTTTGAACCTCAAATCTGATCCGATTTCGAGTCCCGATCCGATATTTTGCCTTTAGTATTGAAATTGATCAAACTCAAAAATATTTTGAGCAAGTAACCCAACTTTTTATTAGACTTATATTTTATCAAAAATCATTACTATTATTATTGTAAATCCCACGAAATAAAAATCTTACCCAGAATTAAAGGTCAGCTTCAATTTAATATTTTAGACAAAAGTAAAAAGAAAGACACTGACTTGGTACAGTATTATCCAAAAGAAAGTGCTATCCAAGATCCACTTCTAGCTTACAAGTGCTTAACATAGGCTGCCATAAAGTCAATAAAAATAAAGTGCACAAATAGTCACATTTAAGTAAATTAATTTGAAACATCTAAAGCCAACTTAAAATGTAAACAGAATTCAGTCAAATTAATTCAAAACTCTGGAACTGCAACTTAAAAGTAGCATGATCACTGAAACATGACAATCAACAAGACCATTCTTCAGTTATGAACAAATACGTATGTAGTCCTAAAAACAACTAAACATACAGCTTTGCACTGCCGCGGATGTTTGTATTGCGCAACTACCGTAACTAGCGGTAGATCGGTGCGACTAGTCAGGTAATGTAGCCGAGCTCCGATCACAGGAAAAAAGGAAAAGATCGGGCCGATCCGATCTTGAGATCGGGATCGGGACATCCCTATAATGTGTATAAGGACCAATAGAACTAAGAACACTAGATCTAAAAGGAAAATAATTTTAAACAAGAAAACATATGATTGCCAAGTGATAGGATTTGTCTCCTGATGGCGGAAGGGTATTTTTTATCCTGATGGTGTCAGCCATAAAGTCCTGGAGGTCTGTGCAGAGCAGCTCTGTGGAGAGCACATCTCTTTAACCATAGTCTGACCCAGCAGACAGTTCCAGTGATGTTGAAGCCCTACTCTCTTGTTCCAGAACCAAAGACTCAGCCAACAGTCCTCAGTAACTATAAGTGTGTTGCCATGACAACCCGCATCATGAAGGTCCTAGAGACTTCTGTTGGTTCACGTCAGCAAAGAAACAAGCAGCTATCAGGACCACTGCAGTTTGCTTATCGCCGTGGCGATGAAGTTGAAGATGCCACCATACACCTGATTCAACAAACCCATTGTCATTAAGATAAGGCAGAAAGCACTGTGAGGATCATGGTCTTTGATCTCTCCAATACATTTAATACAATTCAGCCTGAATTACTTTGTGAGAAACTTCAGAACATCAAAAATCGCCTGGATCAAAGACTACACTGACAAACAGATCACAGTTTGTTAGACTGAAGGGTCAGATGTTTAATCAAGCAGTGGGAAGCACAGGAGCACCACATGGGACGGTACTCTCAACATTCCTGTTTATTACCCCATTTACACTACCGGTGAAAAACCGATCCATGCCGAGACCGGTCCGAGCTCGGATCAGTTAACCAGGCCGAGCTCTGTTCTGACGACCGACACATCACGCTATCTCGGTTCCCCGACTCCTCGCCTCCTAGTGCCGATCTGCGGTATTACTGCCAGTATTGAAGGAGGAAATGAAGCAGTTGGTGGCGCTAATGCACCAAAAGTTGTTTGCCAACCGCCATAAAACACAACAAGAAGAAGACGAAGGAGGGATTTTTTTTTTAAGTGTTTTTTTAAACACTTTGTGGTTGTGTTTCACGCCCTCCAACATCCCCTGGATAAGGTCCTCCGCCCAAATTGCAATAACGGCCTCAGTCTCTGCGTCATCCCAGGTCGCACCACTCTCTTTTAAAGCCATAATTTAAAATGTTTGCGTGGAGGAGATTTCAATTGTTGTTTATAGTTGTTGTTCTTCTTCTGTTTTGTGTTGGTAGGCAAGCAACTTCCGGAGGGGCATTACCGCCAACTAGTGGAATGGAGTGTGAATCAGGATGTGCAGCCAGACAGAGATGACGCGTTCTGCTCATGCGCTCTTGTTATCAGAGAACCGAGCCAGGGAAAAACAGAGCCGAGCCCACCTCTGGAACTGGTCTGCAGTTAGCGCGGTCCGGTTGTGTCTAGCTCGGTTCAGTTCAGTTTGCTTTGCATTTACACACGATAAGTTATCTCAGTTACTGAGCTGGGACCGGTCTCGGCACGGTTTTTCAAGGCTAGTGTAAATGGGGTATCTGTCTGACTTCTTTTCTAGGAACTCCTCTAGAACTTATGGAGGACATTTTACAAAGAACAATTCATAAAGTAAAGAATATTATGCACAATAGTGAGCCTCCTCCTCTTCAGAAGATTTTGAAACAACAGCAGAGTGTCTTCAGTAAGAGGCTTTTCCTGATACGGTGCAAGACAGGCCGCTACAGAAGATCCATCCTGCCTGCAGCTATGAACACCTATAACACCTGTTTAAAAAATAACGTATTAGTTACTGCAACATTTAATTTCCCTTTGGGATTTATAAAGTGTTTTTAATTTGAATTATTTACCCTCCATACTTTAACTGCAATGGTGGTGATGCTGCAGTTTTGTAAGAAACATAACTGGGATTTCCTTCTTTGTGGAGCGTGACAATTTTCTATTTTTGCATCACAATAATCATTTCAAGACATCTAATAAGGAAATCTAGATTCAATCCTTTTAACAGCTTCTGTTCTGTCATTTCCATGCAGCATCATCGGATACAGCTCTACCGTTTTGCTACAGCAATACACAATGCAAGATAAAGAGTGGAAAACAAAAGAACTCTAATTTTTTCGAGCTTATGTGATATCATCAGAAGGAAGTACAGGTAGAAGGGTAGATTTTATTCTATTTTATTCAAATAATGACTGACAACAAAACAGTAAATTAAATAGAAAAAGTCCTGATGACATGTTAAAGTTTGGCTCAGGTCTTTGAATAAATTCGACACGTTCAAAATGAGCTCCTGAAACTCAAATTAAATTTACTACACAACTACTTCAGTTACATACATGTAATGAAGTTGCTGCTATGTTTCATCTGAAGACGACATTCTCTCAAGCTATGACAAGAAAAGACTTGCCTTGGATGTTATCACATGTTATGTTTCCCATTTAAACAAAACCTGTTTCTATCTACACCTATCGAATATGTTCCTCTTCTGGTGTTGTTTTCTTGTCTTGTTTTTTAAGCCTTTTTTTTTTTTTTTTTCCATCCCATCTATCAGGTTACATAGCAGACTAGACCTAATGATGCAAAGTTTCCCTCAGATAGCCTTAAACAAGACTGCCAGTCTGCACAAACATTGCCTTGCCAAAGTTTTGACCCCGCATGAACTACAGACTTCAGTATGAGTTATTGACGGTAGATAAACACGAAGTAGAACATTTTATAAAAGTGGAGAGAAATAAAGAATTGCCTTAACAATGTTTTATGAATTGGGCTGCTTAGAGTAGCAGTGGGTAGCACTGCTGCCTTGCAGCAAGAAGGTCCCGGGTTCGATTCCCAGCTTTCTGCATGGAGTTTGCATGTCCTCCCTGCGCATGTGTGGGTTCTCTCCAGGTACTCTGGCTTCCTCCCACAGTCCGGAAACATAACTGTTAGGTTAATTGGCTTCTCTAAATTCTCCTTAGGTGTGAGTGTGTGCATAAATGGTTGTTTGTCTCTGTGTTGCCCTGCGATGGACTGGCGACCTGTCTTGGGTGCACCCCGCCTTTCGCCCATCGACAGCTGGATATAGGCACCAGCACCCCTCGTGACCCCACATGGCATATGCATGATGGAAAATGGAGGGATGTTTCACAAATTAAAATCTGAAACCTGTACTGAGCAGTTGTTTACCCCGATACCCCTAAAAAACAAAAATAAAAAAATAAAAAATCTCACCCATTACTATCCTATAGGGTTTTTAAGGAGCAACTGCAAACCAACCAGGACAGAGAAGCAACCAAGACGTTTGAGGTATCTCTGGAGGAGCTGCAGGCAGAGGCGGAGCTAGATGGGGGGCCACTCATTGGCCACCACTACCATTATTTACCTCTAATACAGAAGGTGGCAGCAGTAATACTCTCAAGTGGAATATTCAAAACATTTTTTTTTTGTGTGTTTAATTATACACATCAATAAACTAACATCAAAGATGATAAGTACAGAATTCATGCTCTTTTCAGAACTAGATTTTGTCTTATATGACGTAAAGAGAAAATTACTTGTCTCTTCAAGTCAACTAGGAGTCTTCAGTGACATCAAAGATAAATAACAATTTTAATAAAAACTTATCAAATAATGAATTTATGTAGATATTAGTGCTTATAAATATCAATTTTATGCAGAATGTTTATTAATACAAGTAGGTAAGTAATGACAATGATGACTGATTTACGCCCCAGAACTCAAAACTGGGTTTTATCCACTATACATACTTTTTATCTAGAAATTTGATTTTTAACCTCTTAAAACCCACCGGGTCACAGGCGACCCGTTGGACCTTAAGTGGGGCTAATAATTCAGAATGCATCAAATTCAACCGTTAAAATTTTTAACCAAGCCATTGCGCGCAGCTCCAAGCTGACACCAAAAGTTCCAAACCCCAGAGAGGTCTGAAATATTTTTGCATTTGTGGTTGAAATGATGTACCGTAGAACAAATATAATACAATAAAACCTGCATTTTCTCAATAATGTCTTTATTACTGCTGTTCAAAAAATAGCTATCATTTCTAGGGGTGTGGGAAATAATCGTTTTGGCGATATATCGTGATATTCGGCTGCCCAATATAATATCGATCTTTCACTTCTTACTATCGATTTTCAAAAAAAAAAAAATGGTTACATAAAACATTGATGGGAAAATGGACTACCTCTGCACCACCACTCTGGCAGAAAGCGCTGTGGAGCCCTTTAACTGTATTTAAGGCAGTCACAGTGGAAGAAAACCCCAAACAACATGGATAATAATACCTAATCAATATTTTCTGATGAAAATACACAGCACTTGCTGTTTTATCTCATCATTTGATTTTGATAGCTGGGGAAAATATGGCAATATATAGTGATACTGCAATATCGTGATAATATCGTATCGTGACCCAAGTATCGCGAAATGTATTAAATCGCAACACTCATGCCAATACTCACCTCTAATCATTTCCAAGAATAAAAAAACAACTTTGAGTCATGTTTGAACTGATGCAGGTTGGTCTGTGTTCTTCTCACCCAATTTTACTAGAGGGTGTTAGCTTTCAAATAATGTATTGCACATGTAATTTGGGCTTACATTTCCTAAGTTATTTGCTTTTCCATTCGGGTATGCAAAATAGGCGAGGATTACCCAAAATGAGCTGGATGTTAACAGGTTAAATATATGCGTCTATTTGTTAGCAAAGGCTGTAGGAAAGTATAGTTAGTATTTAATTAGATAATATGGATGTTTTGCGCGTTAATTTTCCTGTTGGAACAGCGTAGATTGACCCTGAGGTTCTGGTGCCTATCTGCTTTCCGCCCCCCCGTCAGTGTACATTGGTTAGTGCCTGGCCACCCTAATAAAAAATGTTGTGGCTACGCCTCTGGCTGCAGGAACCCATAGCTCAGGATGACTGTTAAACCTGAGCCAATAATAAGGCTCAATGCCCATTATCCGACCATGCATGCTGCCAACCTGCAGACCTATGAATGCAGCAGTACTCCTGCAGCCCTGCAGAGGACTGATCCCGGTTACTCACCTGTGCAAAGTAAAGGTTCATGAGGCTGAGCGTGAAGAACTGCAGGCAGACCGGGAAGCAGTAGAGCAGCCAGAAGGGAAATGGCCCCAGAGTGTTCGCCGTGACAAAGTTCCTGAAGTAGAAGGAGAAGAGCACGGTGCGCAGGGCCGACCACAGCAGGCACAGGAACAGAAACACAGTCTGGTAGCTGAAGCGCTTGTGTCGGTATCGCAGCACCAACCAGAGCTGGACGTAGATGAAGATGAAGAGGAGCGAGTAAAAGACGGTGTAGACCACCGTCAGTCCCAGAGTCACAAAGGGGGGCACGGCTGGGCTCAGGGTGGGCAGAGGCAGGGGCTGCTCCATCGGTGACGGCTCCTTCTCCTCCGCCGGGGCCTCCATGAGAAAAAGCTCTTTGGTTTCTCTGAGGGGAGACAGATAGATGGAGGAGGTGTTCGCCCTGCCTCTCTGGCTCCCAGGCCGGAGCCGAGGGGAGGAAACCCGGAGAAGCAGGAAGAAAGCAGGGCGGCTGGAGCGGCTGTCAGGGAGCAGAGGCGCGCAGCGGGGAAGGAAACAGCTCCAGCTTCCTGCAGTGGATTCAGAGACAGCCTGAGAGGCACATGACAAGAGATGATGATGCGGAGAACTGCAGCGGGTTTCCAGGACCGGCCGGCCCCGCCCACTTCTCTTTACGCACCAGCTGACGCACAGTCCTGTACCTTTAACCCTGTGAGGGTGCTTCCCAGCGCGGCGCTGATCCCAGGAGGGCACATCAGGGCTCCTCCGTGGATTCACCCTCATTCAGGGGCGGACTTACCATACAGACAAAGTAGGGAACCACCTGGAGCCCCAAACCTGCCAGAGGCGTTGCTAGAAATTTTTTATAAGGGTGGCCAGGCACCAACCAATGTACACTGAGGGGTGGCCGACAGTAGAATGGCACCCAAACCTCACAATCTACACTGCTCCGACAGGAAAATTAAAGAGCAAAATAACATCCATGTTTTCTAAATAAAGACAAACTATACTTCCCACAGCCTTTGCTAACAAATAGATGAATATATTCAAACATCCATAATTTCTAGATAAAAGGTATAGTGGATAAAATTATTTCAGGTTTGAGTTTTGGGCGAACATCTTTTCCATTGTCATTACTTACCTACTTTTATCAGTAATCATTCTGCATAAAATTGATATTTACAAGTACTAATATCTACATAAATTGACTATTTAATACGTTTTTATTTAAATAGTTATCTATGATTTCACTGAAGACTCCTAGACGACTTTCAGAGACACATCATTTTCTCTTTACCCCATAAAACACAAAATCTATTTCTGCTTGAATTCTGTACTTATCATTTTTAATGTTAGTATATTGATGTGCATAATTAACCACCGTGTTTTTGTAGTCAAGTAATTATTAATATATGAAAAATTTAAGTGTTTTGAATATTCCACTTGAGATTATTACTGTTCTGTATGAGAGAGAAATAAATGGTAGGGATGGCCACAGGGGTGGTCAATGATGATGGCCACTCCTCGCCCCCCATCTAGCTCCGCCCCTGAAACCTGCACCTTTTAGGCAGGTTTGCCATGCTGCTGTGTTTACATCTGAGAGGAAGAACAAAAAGAAGAATCCTTGTTTGCGCATGCGCCCTGATCGATTTGCCCACGACAGTCAGCAGAATATCACTATTCCACTATTGAGATTTCAATTCATATATTGGCATCTGGCTGTTTTTTAAATACTTTTATACTTTAAGTCAACCTGATACTTCAACTTTTACCAGAGTGTTTTTAAACTGCAGCATCTATACTTCTACTGAATTAACAAATGTGTGTACTTTTGATGCCACCGTCTAATATGCAGAGATGGCAAAAGTACTCACTTTCCGTACTTGAGTAAAAGTACAGATACTTGTGTTAAAAAATACTCTGGTAAAAGTGGAAGTACTGATTAAACTTCTTTACTCAAGTAAAAGTAACAAAGTACAGGCTTGTAAATTTACTTAAAGTATAAAAGTCAAAGTAGAAACCACTTTTTTTCATGCCGTTGCCTACATTTTAAATGGATGTCTGCCAATAGGACTAGATCTCCGTTGTGTTCATTTTGAATCATCTCGTCGTCCATACTACTATGCTAACGCCACCGCCACCAAGCTGCAATGATTTGCCGCGAATGAATACCGCCGAATCTGTCGATTCATCTTGTAGTGGTGCGTCAAATGCAACGTAGATTCCCATCCAATTAGATTGAATTTGGTATTGATGACGTGAAAAATAATAACGGTAACTCCACTGAAAGTAACGAGCCAATTTTTTTTAAATGTAAGGAGTAGAAAGTACAGATATTTGTGTAAAAATATAAGGAGTAGAAGTAAAAAGTCGCCTTAAAAATAAGTAGTAAAGTAAAGTAAAAATATCAGAAAAAAACTTGAGTACAGTAACGAAGTATTTGTACTTCTTTACTTCCCATCTCTGCTAATATGATGGTGGCAGCAGTAATACTCTCAGGTGGAATATTCAAAACATTTACATTTTTCATATATTAACAAATACTTGACAACAAAAAACTCTGTGGTTTATTATGCACATCAATACACAAACATTAAAGATGATAAGTACAGAATTAACTCTCTTTTCAGAACTAGATTTTGTGTTATATGGGGTAAAGAGAAAATGCAAGTCATCTAGGAGTCTTCAGTTAAATCATACATAAATATTTTAATAAAAATGTATTAAATAATCAATTTATTAATTGACTGACTTTAAAATATTTACTTTATGTAGATATTATAAACGTAGGTAAGTAATGACAATGGAAAAGATGTTCGCCCGAGAACTCAAGCCTGAAAGAGTTTTATCCACTATACCTTTTATCTAAGAGGTATGGATGTTTAAATATATGTTGAATGGTATAGATTGACCCTGAGTTTCTGGTGGGTTCTGGCCACCCTTCTAAAAATTTTCTGGCTACGCCTCTGCTTTGAGGGGCCCTGCTGGTTGCAAATCCCAGATCCTCCATCTATGGCAGGCCTTTTGACATTTATTAGAAGCGCTGTCCTTTCTCTTGGTATGACAGGCCGTTTTGATATTTATTAACTTAACTGAATAGTCCAGCTTTTTTTTTTGACATTTTTATTTTACATTATGGTTAAATTTAGTGCTAAAAAATATACATTTAAAATAAAATGTTTTTTTTTTTTTATAAGAGACATCTGGGTTTATTATCTGTAAGCCCCATACAGTCCACTCCGATCTATGTTTTGTTTTAAAAATTAAAACCAGACTCAATTTCAAAACCATACAAGGTTTTAAAAGTGGGCCCACAAATTGATCTAGGTTTATGCTTTTACTATCAAATAGAATTCAACTTTATTATCATTACACTGTCACAAGTACAGAGCAATTGTACCCAGAGTGGCAGTCTGTGGAAGTAGCGCTGGAACTCAAAACCTCTGGGTTCAAAGTGCAATGCTCTAACCACTAGGCTGCTATATGTATTTCAGGTGTCTCAAATACATTTCTTTCAATTAATATTCCAGAAATCTAAAATGACATAAAATAAAATAACATCCTATCCTAACTCTTACCCCTCTACCTCTCTTTCTGTACTTCCCTCACTCTCTTTGCTGTCACACTGATTCAGACTAGGAATTTACTATAGAGAACTTATTGTCATATTGACGATAACTATACCATTCTGTCTACATTGTAAGTCACTTTGGATAAAAGTGTCAGCTAAATGCATAAACATAAAAATTATTCCTATCTAAAATAAGCATTCTGGGTATGTAAAACTCTGATCAGGATGGACTCTAATTTCAGATCTCTATAAAACAGTTTCTACTATTCATATTGACAAATTCAGATATCATAATTAATTGAACATTCTAGATATTCAGAATTGAAATCAAACATAAAAAAATATATTTCTACCAGTAGAAATGTCATTACAGATATAAACCGTTTACTATATGACTAGTTAAATCATAATTCAAGATATCTGAATTTTAATAGTGCCTACCAAAAAAGATACTTTTTTTTAGGTACTTTCAAAAGAACAATGTGGCTCCGTCTCAACATAAAATAGGCAGAGTTCATAAAATACCCTTCTCAGGAAGGGTATTTTATGAACATTCCACTCGTTTCACAGCGCTGTCAGACTATGAACAGATTATGGTGATTTTAAAGTCCCTTTCAAACTGACGGTGTGACAAAAGGAAAAACAAGATAAGATTTCAGATTTTTCTTTCTCAATTTTCAGTATGCCTTACGTACATATGCATTTCTTGTATTGAAAGTTGATAAAAAACCAAATATGTTCAAAGAAATGTATATTATAGTACAGAGGGAGAACTACAAGATAGGATGCAGTTAGTGCTTTGTTTATCAATAGAGGTTTTGGGCTTACTTGTATAAGTGCATATGCAGTTTATGTGTGTAAATAATAGCACACAGTGAAAAAAATAATGCAACCATTTTTTGTATTTATGTAATCATATTTTGTTACTTAAACGCGATTGTTTCATGTTAGCAGGGTAGGATATATAAAACTGTGTTAAAGTAACTAAATCTGATTAAGTAGTGGTTGCATTTTTATTTTCAGTACTGCACGTGCATATGCAGTTTATGTGTGTAAATAATACTGCATTTCCAACTGCATATTATATGCATACTGCATATTTTCTATCTAAGGAAAACCAGCTGATTGCATCGACTCATCGACTCGAATGCAATCCCTCACACTAAGCATGCTTGTAGTGACAGTGGAGAGGAAAAACTGCCTTTAACAGGAAGAAACCTCCAGCAGAACGAGGCTCAGTGTGAGCAGCCATCTGCTGAGGCCGACTGGGGTTCAAGGAGATGGAAGCAGAGACACAAAAAGAAGCTGTAAAAGACGGCCCCGTCCAGGAAACACACAGCCAGGGAGACGAGCTCCGAGTCCGCTCCCATGTCAGAGGATCAAGAGAACACACTGGAAAACAGGCAGATCTCCAGCATCTATAAACAAAGGTGTTGATGGCAGCAGCACATCTGATATTTCTCTCCAGGATGGTGTGAAATGAGATGAGATGCGTGCTTGGTGTGAGGGATGGCTAAAGAATCAACAACAAACTGAAAGCAAATATTGTTGCCATATATTCATCCAGGAGGAGAGTGTCCTTCAAATCAAAAACTAAATACAATCAGCTGGTTTTCCTTGATAGAAACTTTTAAGCAATCTGACTGTATTGTCTCTATAAGGTATCCTGAGCTGGCAGGTGTTGTAAATTGGTCCTATAAATTCCATAAAATTTTCCTTCAGACTTATCCCAAGCGGGGTCACAAGGGATGCTGGTGCCTATCTCCAGCTGTCTATGGGTGAGAGGCGGGGTACCTCCTGGACAGGTCGCCAGTCTATCACAGGGCAACACAGAGACAAAAAAACATTCAATCAGACCTAAGGAGAATTTAGAGAAGCCAATCAATCCAACAGTCATGTTTTTGGAATGTGGGAGGAAGCCAGAGTACCCGGAGAGAACCTACGCATGCACATGCTAACGCCATGCTGAAAGAATTGAACCTGGAACCTTCTTGCTGCAAGGCAGCAGTGCTACCCACTGCCCCACTGAACAGCCTTGGTACCATATAAATAAACAAAATTTATTTTCAAAACACAGATTATCTTCTATCATTTTTAATATCTGACCA